CTTGACTTTATGTGTTTGCTTTTTTCATAGAACCTTGTGGTTCTGAACAACGTTATCTTTACGTCTTGTTTAACTTATCTTGCATGTCTTATCTTTTTTATTTGATCCAATTTTGTTTAATCTTTGGATTGGATAGAAATATATTGGATATTTTGGCTTTGTTAATGTATGGTAAGGCATAACATTTGTCAAAGGTGTGCATTTTTCAGGAATTTCAATTTATTTTCTTAAGATTTGTCAGTTTTTTCACTGTGTAATGAAAATACTACCATTTCACCTTCATGACAAAAATGTCCCCATAGAAAGCCAACTTTTTTTTAAAGTACACTGCATGCCATTTGTACATAAAATCTCATTCTGAGGTCCTGGCTTGTATTTTTCTTACAATTTAACATCATATTGATCCATTTTCCCATATTGACCATAACTGACCAAGTGATGCTTTGGTGCTTCACACCAGAGGTATGAGCTATGAGTATGATTCTGGAAAGTCTACAAGAAGCCAAAAGTATCTTGCAGTTTGTTTGTTTTTTACTTAAAATAAAAAATGTCAAATCATGTTTTGACGCTGGCATTTAAAGGGTTTAAAATACTGAAAATGAATGAATATTTGGAATTTTTAATCGGGACTGAATTTGGTTTCAAAAAATGTAATACTTGAAAGTGAAAAATAATATTAATATAGTTATTGTTTTGTAGCAGTCTTAGGGAGTGGACATTTTTGTCCACAAGGGTTTTGAAAGGAAGCGTTTTAATCCAATCCTGTTGGACATAATTAGTCAACTGGTTTTTTTGTTCAGCAACTTTAAAATTCATCAGTCAATTCCACTTTATTTGTTCAGCACTTTTCACACAAACAATGTTATACAAAGGGTTCAGAATAAAAACTGGTCTGATGTTTCCAATCCAACAAATTTCATGTCTTCTATGCATGTCAGAGGGTGGAACAGAGAATAAAGCCCTGGAGCGAAGAAACAATGAGCTCTTGCAGTCGGCGCACGTTAAGGAATGAGACCAAGCTCCACTCAGAGCTGATACACAAAAATGAACCGACAGAACCACATTGGAAACTGAGGAGAGCTGCAGAGACATGCAGAGTACACAACTCCTTCGTTCCAGTGATACACACATACACACACACACACACACATTATCATGCACACCTACATCCATAAAGTAGTCTCAAGTATACTATACAGTAAGTCTTCTTAGATTTGTGTGTTTAGATTAAATTTCATATGTTTGGCTAAATAAAGCTGCACAACCAAATCATGATAATCCCCTGGTGGCCTGCAGTATAGGAATGCACAATCCCACTTACAAATAAGCAGAAACAAACAAACCAACAGACATCAGTGAAACTATAGTGTCACTCAGCAGAGCACATACCTCCTCCAGACCCAGTGGACCAAATTGAGATTTTTATTTGAATCTGCACATTTGCAAAAAATCATAAAAATCATTCCCCTAAATATGCCCTATATTTTCAACATCCATTAATTATTCTCTGAGAAATGTAAAAAACAATCTTTCAATGTTTGAGAGGATCCCTTTGTCCAGTTCTTTCTTGGTCCATGTCCCATCCTTCCACCAAGTTTGGTGGAAATTATAACCATGTTCGATTAGTGAATGGACAGGTTGCATTGTTTAAATTGACATTACATTACAATACATACCATTTAGCTGACACTCTTATCCAAAACAACTTCCAATAAGTGCAATCAACCATGCGCATCAGAATAGCAACTGACTGAAGGTTTGCTGAGGGATTGTTCAGAAGATTTTAGTGTCTATGATTCAACACACATACACTCTCAAAATGTCCTCAACTCTATCCATGGTCAATCTGGAATGCATGAAATAAGTTTTAAAAGCAATTTCCTAGATTCAATGAAATTTTAAGCAGAAGATTGCGTATTCAAAATCATGCTCAACATTAATAAAGATTCCCATTCACTTTCATCTCAAGCCTGCTTCACACTTAGAGGATTCATGTTTTTTTGCAACATGAATACACAAAACCAGACTCCTGTTTTCTTTCGAAGCAGCAACTAAGATCTTTTTTGTTGATTTTGATCATAATCAAAATTAAGAAACGACAAGAACTAAGAAATGAAAATGGCCGAAATGAATCAGTGTGACTAATATTTAAATACTACCCTGTTCTCTGACATAAATGCATAACAATAGCCTGTACCTGATGTTTTGCAGCTCGTCTCCTGCAGAGGTTCCAAGGAGTCAGTGGCAGAAGTGCAAATACTGCAGAAAGAGACAGAACAACAGAGAGAGGGAGAAAATACACACACCCCTGCTGCACACAAGCATGACTGCACATGCATATAAACCAAAAACCTCACACTCTCACTTTCAAAAAACACAGGAAGACACACACACACATATACACACATTCACACACACACACATAGCATCATACTCTCCCCCATCATTATGGAGGCCCAGTGGTCAGCACAGTGTGGTTTGGGTTGGAGGCAAAGCTCCAACAACCTGGTTGGTTTCATCTGTTTCTCTCTCTCTCTCTCTC